ATCTATTTATTTAATAATATATAAAACTTATATAAAAAAATAATATAAATTTTTTTTCCCTATATTAACGTCCCTTCAAAAGTTCAAATAACAATAGAAACCAACTTGTGTGGAGTAGCTTGGTGAGCTCATTCGCAAACTGATCGAAGGTAGAGATGGTACTAACACAAAGAACCCTTTGTTCAACTAGTTCTCCAACAAAATGAATGTCAATTGCAATTTGACTGAATGTTCGAATTTAGTGAGCAAAATTTGAATCCAAACCACCTCAGAGGCAGCTGCAACTAGTGCCCTAATCTTCACATTTGGTATTCTAATTTTACTAAAATTTGATTTATCTAATCTCAATAGAATTCTTTTAAGATTCTTCATGCATTTTAATTCTCATAAAACTTAATTTAAGGTATAACAACAAGAAATAAATTTCAACAGTAAGGGTCCATGACAAGTAATTTCACCACAATGAATCAAAGTAACAAATTCAAGTTTTGTAAAATTTAATATTATAACAGGAAGAAATCACAACCATAACAATTCAACAAATCTTAAAATATTATAAAAACAAACTTAGATTAAAAAAATAGTTAAAAACATTAACTCAACTTGGATCGGGGAGTCTGACCATGCAGAGAACATATTATGAGAGAAAAAAAAAAAGGGAGAAGAAAGGCAAGTGAAATTAGAAAGACATTTTAGATGGAGTATAAATTAGAAAGACATTTCGGATTTAGTTTTAACCCAAAATATAAAAGATAAGCGAAAATTGAGCATATATTAGACATTGAGAAAGATCCGTAAACGTGACAAGACATTCCTTCATTCAACAACAAAAGTCATCACACAGCTACATTTCAAGTTTCACCAAACATTTCGGATCAGCAAACGCAACCAAAAGACAAAACATTTCAGATTGGCAATACTGTTAATTCTGGGTTTGATATTTTTTTACATCAGAAGCAAATACTTGAGGGAGGGATATTGCCAAGCTTATTCCTTCATCTCATGGTCCAAGAAGTTGTCCCATATCAACTTTAAGTCATCTTTAAGCATATCAGATATCGAAGTTGTTTCGCCCTTCTGCCCCTGAAAATTAAAAGTGCAGGAAGTTACAAATACAGATATTCGTCTGTCATCATAAAGAAATGGTTAAATGCTAATTTTGATCCCTCAACTTTAAAGTTTTGTACAATTTTCATCCCTCATTTTTTTTTTGCACTTTTTTGATCTTTTAACTATAAAAAATATACTTTTTTAGTCTCCTGTCAATTAATGCGTTAAGTCCATCTATATATGCACATTTTTAGTCTCTCAACTTAAAGTTGAGGGACTAAAAATGTGCATATATTAAAAGTTGAATGACTAAAAATGTGCAAATTCAGATAAACTTAATGGATTAATTGACCAAAAAACTAAAAAATGTATTTTTCATATCTAAGAGATTAAAAAAGTGCAAAAAAAAAGCTAAAGGATGAAAATTGTGCAAAACCTTAAGTTGAGGGACCAAAATTGGCATTTAACCTAAAGAAATCTACGCACCCATATGCACTGCAGGCATGTTGCTTATTTCATGTAACTTATGGCAAAAAAAATAACACATTCTGAAAAGTAGAACAGTAACCAGGGAGCACAAGGTAAACCTGTGATATTCTTTCAACTACCATTTAATGGTTTATTCAAAACACTAGCATTTTTCTCATTTTTGTCCAGAATTATGCAAAATATACGAAGTAAAGTGGAAATAAACTAATACAGCAATTTCTATTCATGCAAAATTTTAAAAATCATTCATCAAGTTTAATTTTGTAACCAAACTTTTCCCAAGACAATGCTCGCCAGACACCTTAAACAGATAACTGACGTGCAAAACACTCTGGAGGACAAAAATGTGTAAACAAAAATACAGAAACTATTTATCTAATTAAACTTTGGTGTAAACTGGATTGGTTAAATAAAGGAACACTGAATGACAACGAAGGCAAATGTATATCATAAGAAACTAAGAAAAAGAAAATCAGGTTTCATATACTTCTAACGTTATTAAAATACAAGATAATGGGATGAAAAGTTGTGAAACAAGTTGCAGAAATGATGAACAGCACTTACCTGCAGTCCTGATGCAATTCCTTTTAACTTCAAGGTAACCTCACTTGTAGATTCCCCAGTTGCTCTCCTGAAATCAAATCGGTCTGCAGTTCTTAGCTTGAGCCTCAGTGATGGACTTTGATATGTAGTGGCTATTGTGTGCCAAACACCGACAACAGTGCATTTATTATCACCATAACCATGGGACGACTTTCCCATGGGCCATCTCAACCCACCCTTTATGCCCGGATCTAAAACTGCTGAATCAATCAGATTTTTAATGCAATTCATCTCACCCTCCTGCAATAGTTAAGCATCATCCTGGTCATAAAACTAATTGCCTGTAATCAATTCAGCTATAAACTTCCATAATGGATAATATTATACTCACTATTTTATTGATTTACTAATCACAACCATATATGATAAACAAATTTCCCACAAAAAACAACTTCAAAAAGTACAGGGGAAATTTTTTTTTTTTTTTTTTTGGGGGGGGGGGGGGAAAGGATGAAATTTTGATCTGCTTTGCCATATAACGGACTGATATTACATGATTTCCTTCAAATTTTCAGAAATTAGAGTATTAAGCAGAAACATTTTGTGATGAAATATTCAACCATGAATTGATACTAAATTCTAGTTTCTAAATCACAAAGCCAATTTTATATCATAATAGGTAAAAGGTAACAAATATTGCCATATTTTTTTCTCTTCATATTGCATACGACCAGAAATTATAGTAAACAGATAAAGTTAGACATATTTAGAGAGTGCATATGGCAGCAAATTAGCTTACAGTCAGAGAAGTTAAGATCCTCCTGGTGCATAGCATCAACCTCAAGTCTAGATTCTTATTAAGGCAAGATATGTCTTCAACCATGTAACGCTCTTGGTTTAGTTCCACCTACAACAGAAGGGTTTATGTTTCAACAAGTTAGGGATATGGTTTAGTTCCTCCAATGTTTCTAATTCTTAAATACAACTTGAAAATTTTGTAACACCATATCAACATGCTGACAGCAACATAATAAGCATAAGTTTTGGTTTAGAAGTATCAGAAGACTTGCCTTCTTTAGCTCAAGTTTTGCTTCACCTTCCCTTAAGCTACATTTGCATGATATAATTGCAGTTGGCCTTCTGGAATGAGATAACTACACAAAAAGGAAAGAAAGTAGGAAAGTAAATAGCTACATCAATTGGATACACTAAAAGCATAGCATAAAGAGTAGAGTTTAAAGAAAAACCTTCACGTGGTAAATATCCTTCTTTCCTTCAAAATCAAGCCCAATCTTTGGGACAACTTCATGCAGAATCTTTTCCATGTATGAAGCATGAACATTTGTGCAAAATGATCTTTTCAAGTTTCTCAAAGTTGTCTCTGTAACCTGATTTCCCCTGACACTTTCTAAGCTCACTAACGCGCTCCTGAACCAAGAGTATTAAAAGCACTGCTAATTATACCTCCAACTACAAGAAATCTTTCTTTGCATCTTGAAAATTAAATGAAATTTAATATGACAAGACATTTCAAATGATATGTGAAGCAGTGGATGCAATAAAATTAATATTTTCATTAGGCCTATGTCCATAACAAGATGAAGATATGAAAAATTGCATATCCAATTTCATTTTTCTTCCATCAAGCTATATGAGATAATGAGAAACCAGAAGTACACTCGTTGCAGTAGTCTTCAGATGTTTTATAAACATTTGAATATGTACACATAAGTATCACATCAATCATTCCTTGACAAGAAGCTGATATCTAAATGACTAGACTTGGACCATGTAATTAATATAACAAAATAAAATTACAACACTTTCAAGACCGTAATGAATTATAATGCTTTTTTCAAAAGCACCATATAGACAAGTTCTCCTTCACTGCACATAACCATTAAACCATGGCATGATCTCAATGCATCAGGAAACTACCTCTTACGTGATTGAAGTCACCTAAGGTCTAGAAACAGCTATCTTACTACTCCCTCCATTCAACTTTAATTGTCTGAGTTTGACTTTTTGACTTTTTGGATATTAATTCTTTATGAAAATTTAACAGAATATATGAATGACAGTTAAAAAATTTCTCTCTTACATGTAGTTGATGTTGACTAATTTCATTTGAGAAAAAATTTTCAATTGTCATTTTATACCATGTTAAATTTTCATCTGAAATTAATGTTTGAAAAGCCAAAAGTCCAATTAGGATAACTAAAGTTGGATGGAGGTAGCAACAAGGTAGACAAGCACCCACCTTTGGAAATAGCAAGCTTCCCAATCCTAGCAAAAAAAGGCAATAGCATTACCCGGAAAATACTTGGACTATACCACATATCCTACATACATGTGGACTACTCCCTATTTTCCAATTAGATTTTAGCAAAAAGTTGTAAGCCACTTGGCCAATTCCACATAGCAGTTATCTACAGCAGCAAACAGATCATAAAATTGTGATATGATAGGCTACTTGACATGCATGACAAGAAATAAAAACCAAAATCCAAAAGGCAAGACACTTATGGAAAGAAATGACCATTATGGAAAGAAATGAACCTAAACTGATAGCAACTTATAAAACAAAAAAGGAAAATGGCAACAAATTCACTAGAATAACAAGGCCTAAAGGACCATATCTCAACTAACTATTAACCACTAATCAGCAGTAAAAACACCATCACTTACCCACGGAAATGTATTTTACCAATTCTAGCAACAAATGTTGGCTTCATTACTTCTTCCAAATCTTTACGCTCCAAATCAGCCTTCCAAATTTCAAAAGAACAGAGTAAGTCAGGTAGTACATTTTCTGATATAGACAACCATCGCTTCCCTTCCACTTCATTATTCTCTAAGAAAAGAAAGAAAAAAAGACAGAAAGTTATGCTATGAAGCTCAACATCTATGAAAAGGAAATAATGCAGAAAAGAAGATAAATCATAGAATGATAGAATAACAAACCACTAACCAATTACATTACTATTCACCAACATTAGTGGTCTCTCTCCAACATATTCAACTGAAACAGGTTCAAGATCAACATTTGAAGGAAGTTGATTATCATCATCCAAACCAAAAGCCAACCACTTAGATATTGCATTATTAGCATATACAATCTTGTTACTACTCAAGGTGACATTTCTCTTGAAGTGGGGAACAAGTGACTCTGGAGTTGGCCTTGATCTTTCTGAATCCTTTGAAGTCCGCTTGTGTGGAGGTATGTAAGCCATATCAAAAATCCCACCCAGGATCCACCCAACCACCTACAAGAAAGAGTAACCAGTAGAGTTATATAGAGTATCTAAAAGAAGCAATTCAACTCAATCTAAAAGGTTACTGATAAAGAAAGCATTATGAAGCTCAGATATTTTAATGTTAAACTTAGGAAAAGAGTAAGATGTGGGAGGAGGAGTCCAACTCTTTGGATATGAAATTCAAAAAGGCTCAGAAAGGTGATCCCAAATTGAAGGAAAAACACCTTCAGTAAGATAGAATATTCTGAATTTTCTGAATCACTGATGTCTGAGAAAAAATCCCCTATCTAAAGACCACCCAGTTGCCAAAATAGTAAAGACCCTCCACTGACTCAATAAATGACTCTTAACTGACCAGTTGACTACCGTCTAGACTTACTGCATAGAATCCAGGGCTCTTAGAAACTAAGGATCCTCTGGTAATTCAAAGATATCTAATCCTTAAATACAAATTTCTGAAAATGCTTTATTCTGCATCAAAGCAGACATAGTGAGGATGATTGAGGGAATGACAACCATCAATACAAAGAATTCAAGGAGATAGAGAGAAAAGAAATCCGTAGCAGCAGTCTAATTCTCTTCACGAGTAACACACATCATATAGTATTTAAACAAATTAACTAAATACAACTGCAACTTTACCACCTCACCTGCCACATTGCTCACCACATTTTTCCACATGAAAATTCACAATAATTTTCACTGATAAAAGGTGCACAAAATGAGCATTCTAGCCAACAATCATTCATAAAATTTGCTTAAAAAATTGAAACAAGAATATAAAATCTTTTAGGAAACCACAACTACCCATAAGCCCCTGTTTAACTGCATAGAAAAAAAAATAAAAGAAAATATCCTTAAAATGTTTCTCATTTTCTACAATTTATTTAGTTCCTAATAATAAAATTAACCCCAGCCCGTTCAACCTACTGTAGAAAAACATAAACTTCCTTTCCCTTTTTCCCTCTTTCTTTTTTGTCTCCAAACAAATGAAATTCGGGAAAGATCAAAATACCTAAAAGACATTAACTTGAATGAAAATTCTAACTGCACATTCCAGCTAAATCAGTAACAGAAACACTGCACTAAAGAAGAGAGAAAATAAGGGGAAAAAGGATTGGGGTTTACCAGTGAGCAAAGTGTGTTGGCTCTCTAGCTTTGGCTCATCGAGTTTCTTTTATAGTGATTAAAAGGCGAGGAGATAAACTTCATAGAAGATGGACACGGTAAACTACTTCTTGAACAAGTTCGTCATGAAAGAAAAGTAAAATAAAAAGCAACAACGCCATGAACAAGTTGTTCTCGACAGCCACAGTAACAAGTTGTCCTGCACTACTTTTAATGATTCTTTGTAGGCAAAACCATAAGTTAAGCCCCTGAACCAACC